AGAAGAAATGTCGTTCTTTTTCCTCTAAATATTTGTTTTAAAAAAACTGAAAATTGTAAGACCCGATTTATAACTATAATCTTAAAAATAACAGACAGTTTTTCTTTTCTTTTTTTAGATCTTAATATTATTGCTTTATTTTAAACAACTAATATATTTCCTTTACGTCTACGGTAAGTTAAAATGTTCTATTTCCATTTTCACCTTCATTAAAGACTGAAAACAAAACTTCTCACTGATAGCTTTGTTTTCAAGCAAATAAAAAAATTTCATGTATGATAAAAGTGTCTTGTAGGAAAAGAGTTTCCGCAAAAAGTAAACAGGATAGAACTATTTTCCTTTTGATAAAGTCTGATCTAATTGTAAGTGCGAATGATAGCCTCGCCTTGTGTCAACATTTCATATCATTACTGTTAAAAGCACGGGTCAAACTCAAAATGAACTGAAACATTTTCAAAAAGTTTTCTACATTCTATTCAATGTTTGCCAACAACAGTCAATACCGTTCAGTGAATTTCGTTTGTGATTCAATTGCAACGAATCGGGATCACATAGGTTACAGCAATTATCTCTCATTGTTTGAACGAGTCTTAACAAAACTGTATTATTAAGGCTATTGGATACATGAATGCTGTTGTAATAAATGCGATTTAATAGCTCTTTAAACATGCTAAAGCTAAAAGTCGTAAATAAGTTCTGAAAAAAGGTACTTTTTAAATGGTCTGAAAAGGCTTTATAAACCCGTTCATTGATTTTTTTGTAGAATAATCATAAAAGTATTAACTTTTCTTCCATTTTATGCGAATTTGTATGGACAAACTGGATTTGCGAAAAAAATGTTTTATCATTAAGATGTTACGTGTTTTTTTTCTAATTCCAAAGCATAACCTGCAAATTATTTAGCTCATTAAAACCATAAAATGTATTATTTAGTCTTAAAACTTGCTTAGATTTTTTTTATCGAAGGTAACATAAAGTATGATTGTGCATTGAAAGAAATTTTGTTTTTGCATTTAATGATTTACCTTAAAGGGTGGAAAATGTTAATTTTGTGATTTAATTTCTTTCCGTGACATGTTACAACTTTAAGTCAGAATTTATAAACTGAAAATAATCAAGTTTATGACTGAAAGAAATAGAAATAAACAAGTTTTTTTCATTAAGTCGTATTTATTATGCCAGTATATTTATTTTATTGAAAGGCGTCGTGCGTTTCTTAAATTGTCGTCGGGTTTTGGGCTGCACTAAAAATAAATTTTAATTTTTCAAGCTTTTGCATTCTACTTTTTAGATTCTTTTCAGTGGAACAATTAATACACAATTTCTTGAAAGCAGCATCTTATATAAATTCATTAAATGTCTTTATTTATTATTTTAGATAAAGCTATCATAATTAAATATATTTGCATAGGACTGTTAGTTTTTGCATTTTTTCTAAACAAACTTAATCATTGCAATCTTTTATTCTTCTCTTTGTATAGATACATCAGATTATTGAGAGAAATTCAATTCAGTCTGCAATTACTATTTTCTTTTACAAATTATGCTTTTATGCTTTCTTTTTTAAGTGCTTTTATGTTTTACTGAGAGATTTAAAAAAAATTTAAAAAAAATTTTATTCATTGGCTAAAATTCTTTTCATGAAAACTTTTAGTCGAAATTTATAAACGGAAATGAATCGAAATTAACAATAAAAGAGTACAAGAAATATACAAGTTTTTAATGTTAAATTTTTTTTTTTGTTCTTTTCACAATTACAATGCTAATCACTTATATTCAATGTCTTATATACTATAATTGAAAGTCCATTATTACTTTAGAGAGGAAAATATCACTCATATAATTCAGAAATACTTCTAATACTAAAAATACTTCTTCGAACATTCGTAAAATATTTCTCGAACATTATGAATTTTCTTTTTTATTATTATTATTAATTAGGGAATATTTTTGCGAAACATTTCAATTTATAATTAATATGAGCGGTTAGATTACTACGTTGGTAAGATATATTTTGTTCAGAAATACAAATAATTTGCATGATTTTCTATCCTTGAACAATCATTTACTTTCTGCTATACAATTCAAAACTTGTCAGGATTACTTTATAATTAAATAATACTACTTTTAGTTTTAATTTGGGATAAAAATAAGATATCAATAGAATAATATTAAGAAAGGATGGCAAAAATTTACTAATATAGTCTATGACAAAGGCAAAACAATGTCATATGACAAACTTAGAAATAAAAAATAAAAAAACTTTTTTCTAAAGACAATTGCCATTATATTTACTAAGAAACTTGACAAAGACTACATAAAATGTTATATATTACCTCACTTTATTTAACTTTTATATAATTTTTGAACACGTTAGCATTTTACTTTAAATCTGTGTCTTTTTTAAAAAAATTTGTGGACACACTCTCAAGAAACTTGGCAAAAACTTAATATGTGTACCACACTGTAATTAAAATTTAATACATTTTGTTTAATGAGGTATCAAATTTAACTTTTTAGGTTGGATTAATTTAAAAAAGTGACAGCAGACGGTTCAACTTGGCACTGTATTAAAGTTACATTCAGTTTAAACGATATTGTGGTTTAACACAGTTCAAAATTTTTGACTCTGATTAGAAAAATCTAAGAGATACCTGATTATAATTTTATATTTTATTTCTATGATTGTATTTCCAATATTTTCATAAAAATGCATCGCTTGCACCAAACCGATATCAATGAATCTGCAAATTGGGTAATTTTGCGTTTTAGTCGCGTCTCTTGGTAAACTACACTATGCCAAAAACACGGATGTGAATGGCACACTTATGTAGCCTAGAATAGTGCAAATGTGCCTTTATTTCATTTATAGTGCAGTAACTGAAAGCTAAATAGTACTTTAAATGGGTTTATCTTAAGCATAACTTTTCATATTTTCGTGGTTTAGACATGGAGTTTCAATTTCTTAACAAAACTATTTAGAAATATATATATATATATATTATTATCTATTCATATTTGAATTTTATTATTGCTTTGATTATTATTGTAAAAAAATATGTAAAATATAAAAGTTTACACTTAATTTAATCAAAACTAATTTATAAGCACTGTAGATTGATTATTAGCATTGTGGTTAACTTTTAAATTACCTTAGGTAAAGTTTTAACTTTCACTGTTCAATCCTCGTCTAGTGCCTTTTCTTCCGGAGAATCATTTTATTTGATACCTTCGTTAAAGTTCAATGTTAAGTCTTCGCCTTTTCACTTCATAACAGCTGACAAACATATAAACATTCTCATCGTCTGTTAGACACATTACCTTCTTTGGAAAGCTGTTCATGAATCTACATTTCGTAGTCAATTCACTCCACCTCTCTTTTTCCTGGAGCATAATTTGTCTGTACGTAGGCTGTCATTTAAGTGTAACCCCAACGTGCCCCTCCCACTAAGGATCGCCACTGTGTTGCCGCCTCTAGACCCTAGTAATATCCACAAAATAATTACACTGATACCTTTGTCAGGCGTAAGACTTCGGCAGTTAAAGGCGAAATTTGAATTCTTGCTTGGGCCGAGGTCACTACAGGTCGAGTCACGACCCTGATCTGCCACTCCCAAGACTACGTGAGGCATTCTAAAATAGCGACAACCATTGCTGGCCTAAAGGCTTTCTGCATCAAGAGCAAAGAGTACATCTAATTAAGTTCAAATGAAGCAACGAAGGTTAAAAGACATTTTTCTTCAATTAAGATCTCCTAAAAGTGAAGCAATATGTTTCGAAAAAACTCTCATCTTACAGTTTTTTGGAAAACCGCTCTTATTAGACTTATTCAATAAGAAAGAATTCTTCGCCATAAATGATCTCATTATTTTCGAACCAATTCTGTTTCGTTTGGCTTTATATTTATGTATGTTGATTTTTATGGGTTGGGTAATTTTTACTTCGCATCGCGAGAATTTTTTCTTCTTTTTTTTGTGGTACTTATTTTAACTACTCCGTGCAACTGAGATTTAATAGCTTTCCATATTCATCGGATATATTTTTCTCTTCTATTTTCTTATTCTTAATAACGTGAATAAAAACAGCTTTGAGTAAATAAGAGAAATTATTTTCCCTTTATTTAGAATAAAATTTTATTTCTCTTTTCTTTTCTAATCCTAAAATGCTATATAAATGCTTTTTTTTTTAGCATTATTTGCAGATTACGTGAAGTAACGCTATCTTTTCATCTTCTTAAAGTAAATCTTTAATGTAGGAAACAAAAATCTGTTGACTTATTAATAATGTGTTAAAATTATATATGTCCGTACAGCTCTTGTTATCGTTTTAATTATTCTTAAATAACATTATTTCTGAAGTATGAAATGTTTAAACAATCCATAATAAATAAGCAGTAAAAATATAAGAACTGGATAGGTATTTTTTTATCATTATTTCCAAGAAGAATTTAAGGTAAAATTAAGGATGCACCTAATATTTTCTTGTTTTTAAGTCTTTAAGTGTTATTAAAACTTCAGGAAAAAGTACTGACTTTGACCGGCTTTTTTCTTTATTATTCAGAAAGCAGTTAAACAAACTAATGAAAGCTTAAGAAATCAGAAAAATGTGTTATTGTTCCATGCATAATATTGTTTTACATCGTATATGTATATTTAGCCACCACAAGTTTGACCCTTAGTTTTACTGCTAACAGAACTATTTATTGCACTTTACAAGGACATTTTATGCTAAACTGCACAGTTAAAAATTCTGTAATTTTACATGAATGTGATGATTAGTATCCATCTAAAAGTATTTATTTTTAATTCTTGTGCATCTTTTGAGAGAAGTTTATAATGTATTTGCTTATGTTATTTAAATAAGAGCAAAAAAATTTTTTATTATCCTATCTAATATTTCTGTTGGCATTATCCAAACCCTTTTTTCCAATATTTTTATTTATTGTGTTTTTTTTTAAAAAAATAATAGCATTAACTATAGGTGTACATTTCTCTTTCTAGTTTTCCAACACCACAAAGCAATGGTATTGTCCGGGGATTTGACTCATCATTTTCTTATAAGTCAGGATCGCCTTTTCTTGTAAGAAATGTGGACTCTGATGGAAATGGTAGTAGTTTAACAACAGGGTTAAATAGGAAATTAGACAATCAAAGCTCACCAACACCAGCTGAGACTAGAAACAGTAACAACAATAACGTCAACAGCAGCAATCCAGTGCTAAGTAGTGGCAGTATTTCTGATTTCTCATCCTCTCAAACACTATTAAATCTAGTTCGAACTGCTAGTGCTCAAAGTGCCTCACAATTGGAAAACTATTTAAAAGGAGCTGTAAAAAGAAGTGCTGACGGTGAAAGTCGACTAGATCCTTTAGATTTAACTGTTGGTGGAACTGCTCTTAAAAGACCAAAATTTGAAGCCGGTAGTGTGCGTGATTTAAGAAACTGTCGGGACTTTTTTCACTCTGAAACAGAAACATCAATTTCTAGTGGCAATGATGGACATGGAAGTATTAGGACACTACCTGCTAGTGGTACAAAACCTTCATGGATGTCTTTGTTAGACAAACGTATGCATGCATCTCCTACATCTTCTTCTAGGACTTCACCTAAAATTCAAAACTCTGATCAACGATCGCGTTGTGTCTCACTTTGTGTTGAAAAATCATGTTCATCACAGTCTGAAGCTAGTGATCTTTCTCATTGGACAGTAGATGATGTAGTAAAATTTGTATCTTCAGTTGAAACCTGTAGTGAATATGCTGAGGTGAGTCTGATTTTCAATTTTTAATGCTATAGATTAAGAAGTGGGCCATCTAGCAGTTTCTTTTTAAATCAGAATTTTTTACAGCTGTTTAATACTGGAAATGTTTATAAGCACACAGTATCAGATTTCCGTGGTTCAAAATAAAGCTTGATCAACGTTGTAAACTTTATCAACTTGCGAAATGAGTGCTGTGTTGCCGAAACAATGCAAATTTTGAAAAGAAATTTCGATTTAAATTAATCACCTAAGCAGATTAAATACAGTACGCGAATTAAAGTTCGTGAAAACAAGCGTGCTAGTGAGCAGAAAATGAAATACTCACACTCAGTGTGTCCAACTGAAAATAGTTTTACCATAGCACTGTTACAGTCAACTAAGTATGATTTAGCATCTCATTAGTAATTATAGCTATAGAGTAATTTTATCATTTTTGTGGCCAGAAATTGAATTTAAGGATTTACACAACCTTTGATGTGTGTCAGTGAACGCGAATGTTATTGCTACAGAATGATTGTAAAGATTTTTTGTAACCATAAATCGAAGATATTGGCTTGCACAATATTTAGTTTCAGCCAGACGATGTGATAGGTCACACCTTTTATCTCACAATCGACCATTCGGTATTTCTGAGATCAGAATTTTTTGAGGATGTCATTTCGCATCTACGCAACTCTAGTTTGACGTTATTAGACTATTTCTTATGATGCCAGATTATTATTAGACTATTTCTTATGATGGGATAATTTTTCTGTGGGCAATTTTCAAACGATTCGGTCCACTAAGCACTATATTACTGGATTTGACTGCGAAATAAAATCATGAAACATCAGAAATGCACGAACTAGTCAGAACAAGCACTTGAATAAAGTAGTATTTCATAAATAATTGGAAGTCTTGCTGTTGCTAATATAATTTGTGCTTATTTTATCGCATTTTAGAAAGAAACTACTGACTGACCCACTCTGTTAATATAATTTTATCTATACAATTTTATAAGCTTAAAATTGTAAGGTTTTCTACTATTCTAAGTCGTAGAAATTCCTTTCAGTCTTTTCATACAGTAGAATTCTATTAAGGGTAAGACCGAATATTTCATTCTTTATTAACGAAAAATAGAGAAAAAATAAAAATTACCAAGTTTAGAAAAAAACGTTTTCATTGTATGTATATAATTTTAAAAAAATAGTTTTCATAATTTAAAGTTTAAAAAATGCTGAGAATTTTGTAGCACCCAATAATTATTGCATTTATGTTCTGTCATAGTGTTGCGAATGCAAGCTAAGTTTTTAAGCGTATACTGGATTTTAAAAAAAAAATTATCTTAATAACCTTTAGAGTTTATCGTGGTTTCTCTTTCTCATAACGCAAATAAAAATTCATATCATTCAGAAGAAGAAGAAAAAAAAAGGTGAAACGTTATGCTCCTTTATTCCTGTTAGTTCAAGGTTATAATTTTAAACTCCTAAATGCCATGGAATAAGAATGCAGATTGATTGCGGATTCAAAATGACAAAAAAAATTAAAATCTAATCATAAATATAGCATGATAGAAACATTTATATTTCTGTTCTATAAACCGAATGAAAGATTAAATGAAGTATTGTCCCGCGAAAAATCAAATTAAGAATTCTTCAAGTGATGGTTTTATGTTCTTTAACTGAGACAGGTGTCATGAAAAAGTTATTTTAAGAATCAATTACTTGAAGAAAAGTAATGATTACTTGGAGGTATGTGTTTACATATCTCGAGCTTTGCATTTTGACGACAGTTCCAGTTCCATCTAAGAGGTACTATGACCCAAGGCTGATCCGTATTTTTGATTCTATCTTTTGACCGGCTTATCTAAGTTTATTTAATTTTCTTGCAGTAGCTAGAACATGATACAAATCTAAGTGGCATTTTCTTTCACGGCGCACACTTCTATGGCCTCAAGCTTTCCTGAAACATCAATGGATGTTCTAGGTCAACTCTATCCACCCTACATTTTAAGAGTCAGTATTAATTAAAGGGAGTGGCAGTTGGGTCCGGTTGAAATGACCTTGAATGCCAATAAATAGGGCACGTACCCCCAACAAATGAGGTCAATAATAGATATCCTAATGTTACATAAAATATCGATAGCAGATCTTTGGGATCATTGATACTCATTAGCATTGTGTCAGTGAACGAAATTATTAACGTGATTATTTAAAGCATAATATTAAAACTCCCCTAAACATATCAATAGTGCATCTGTAGAGAGTTCAACAGAATCAATCACATTTATTCGTATCTTGGTCTTTTAAAAAAGCACTCAAATTACTTTTTTTTAAACTAATTATGTAAAAATTGGGTATTATTATGATTACTCTTATTCTTTAGGATAGTTATAGATTTTAGTCCCCCAAATATCAAGTAGCGATTGCGAATTTCGTCCTTTACTTGACATATATATTATATTTTCTCAGGCTCAGATTTAATGTCGAATATGTACCGACAAGAGTTCGACTCTAATCCTACATTTTATGTTCAGTCATCGAAGTTTAATATTTTAAATCCTTCTCGCTAAATAGATTTTTAGTTCATTTTAATTTACTTTTTTTTAGCATCAGTATTTAGTTTTTTTCTTTTTTCCCTTTTTTTTTGTATCTTTGAGTATCAATAAATATAGAAACGTATACACATTGTCTTAAATTAATTTAACCAAAATACATTTATAATAATAAACATTGCAAACTACATTTTAACTTCAGCAAAATGTTAAATTTTAGCTTTAGATATTTCTGAAGACAATCGAAAACTATGATATTCTCTTATAATTCATTCCATGCACAAGTGGTTGTAGTTATTAGAATCGAGATTTATTTAGGAAATATTGATATTTTCCAATGTATTGCAATATTTTGCAATTTCACTAATTTACCTTAAATTTTTATTCGTCAATACTTTCTTTATCCAAATGAAATTTATCAACTTTCACGAAATTTTCGTATTCGATTTTTATCGTTTTAAATAGTACTTGTGGTTTCAATCATAGTCTATAAGGATAATGATATCATTATATCTGATAGTTATGTCATCGATGACACTCGGGGAATTATCGAAATTGATATTCATCATTATCAATAATAATCAAGATATTATTGTTGTCGATTATTGTTGTTTGAAATACATTTTTCTAGATTCATGCTATAGTTATAATACTTTTTAATATTGTTATCGAAATGATTAAAAAATGTTGATACTTAATGATACATAGCCTAGCTCTACTATTCACTTCTTAATAAACTCTGAATATTCTTATAAATTATTAATAAAATTCTTATTTTGTTATACGAAAATTTTCATTTTGTTCATTTTGCTATTAAGAGAAAAAACTAACGATCACAAAAATAAATAAATAGGATATTTATATAATGTCTCTGATGTCCTTTTTAAATATATGAATGCTATCTATTTTAATATCCGTTTATTCAATTATTTTTTTATGAATTTATTTGCTTCAAGAAAAGCAAAGTATCAATTTTGAGATAATTGTAATTTTTGTGAAGGCAAGTAATTATTTAAAAATGTAAATATAACTGATTATTTACTAATAAATTCAATATTTAATTATCCTGGTGAATCTACACTGTAAATAATTTTCGTGTATCTGAAAGCTAAAAATGGGGACAATTACTTTGCTGGCAATTACCTAACTGGTGTTTCACTAAGTGTTCCACTACACCGAAACCTAGGATTTTGTTGCTGGTGTAACGAAACCCTAGAATGCTCGTTTACTCTACTTGGTGCAATGTAACCGTCACCAGGTTTGTTATTCAATAACTCTTAAATTTATAATACTACCAGTTATATATAATACACATATGAATCAGTAAAGTTACTTTTACGATAAATATAAAACAAGGATCATAAATTTACGATGCATATGTATAATATTTCTTGAAATAAAATTAATTTACTAATCAAACATACACACAGCATTCTTTCCCATCCTCGCATTTTCGTCTCAAAATGATTATTTAAATCATAACTATCGATAAATGATTATTTAAAAAAACTATTATCGATGTATATCAAGCGTTACTTCTGATCAACTGCACGACTGCTTTATAATGTTGTTACTTTAAATTAAATGCCTTAAAACTTTTGCTTATATTTCTTCATTATTAATAATTCAATTACAATTACGATACATAATCTATAACGATAAGTGCCATTATTTGTTTTAATTAAGAGAATCCTTATTTTTGTGAAGAAAAAAAAAACTTAATAAACCGATAAATTCCATTTTTTAAACCTAAAATTTTCTTTTACTCCAATAATTCTATAAAAAATTTAATTACAAGGACATTGAAAACTTTTTAAATCTGTTTTTGGGTGAGTACTTTGAATTCCTGATTTTGTATACGATATATTTCAGGGTGTCCATTAAGTTTTACTGGAATATTTGCATCGCTAAGTACACATAAAACAATCTCTTGTCTCGAGACTTTAAAATATCCGAATCTGTATCTTAATGCGCGTTACTTTATTTTCTTACGGCATGATGGAAGTGAGTTAATTTTTTCTTGGAGGATAAACATTTGGTTCGGTGGCAATTTCATAATCCTCGAAATTACCGAATGTGCTCCTTTGCGATTCGCTACACCAAACAATAATATAAAATTTAAAAAAAATAGTGCCTAGATTTCAAAACGTATCATCATTAATGGTTTGGAGAACTTTTTCAAAGTAGGAACACTTTCATTCGGTTGAATTTTGGAAAACTCAGCTTAGGTACGTCGAAGAAAAACAGCAAGATTGTGCTCATTTACTTACTGCAAACATTATCTAACACTAGTGTAGAGATAATTTGATTAATTTTCTGTCAAACGGTGAATAACCTTATGCTCTCTGGATCATAATCTATTGAATAACGCTGTTTCTTTTACAGAAATTGAAACAAAATACTTTTAACCACGCCTCGAAATTTTTTGTTTGAAATTATATGAGAACTTATTGCATATCCTTTATATATT